CTGCCCTAACGGCTGGACTGAAGTGGATAAACGCTGCTTCCTGTTTGTATCTCATCATCGAAAGTGGGCCTACGCTGAGGTACCCGACAGCTGCAAGGAACATCTGTCTGTCTGTTGATCAATCAGTGTTTCTATCCTTACACCCAGTTCTGACAAAACGCCCCGTTCAGAGACATTTGACACTTTTTGTTCCACTCCCTCTCTTCTTGTCCCTCATGTCACTCGTCAGCTCGACTGCGTCAAAAACGGAGGAAATCTGGCGTCCTACCACTCGAAAGCTGAATACGACACCATCAGAGGGTTTATCAAGACCGTGATGGGGTATGACACCAGTTCCTGGGTCGGAGGCTCTGACACAGCACATGTGAGTTTGAAAACGTGACAAAACTCCATTAAATGGCTCATTGACAGGTTCAAACGGCAAATAATAAAAGTTTCATTTTAAAGTGTTTTTAACAATCCAGATTAATGTTCTTAGAATAAACTTTTATAACCTTTGTGTCCATCAGAAGGGAGTGTGGTTGTGGTCCGATGGCTCCGAGTTCAGCTACGGTAACTGGGGCAGCGGGACACCAAACCACGGCAAGCACAGGAACTGTATGGAGATCAACTATGAGGGTACTAATCATGAAACTGTCCTTTGCTTAAGTTCAATGACAAAAAACAACTATGGATAAACTAAACGCATCGAGTCTCTTGGTGGATCCCAAACAAACAACCCTTTTTAAATGATAAACAATCCTCATTTTTCACATTTTCACTGATTTACATAAATGAAATAGTCAGAACCATGTGACTTTATTGGGGTTGATCTTGTTTGTGTTTTTTGCTTACAGAACGTGATTATGTTAATAATATCAAGTGTAGCAAGAAGCGACCCTACGTCTGCGCCAAAAGCCTCCAAATGTGCATGTCCTGTTAAAATGTGACGGGACCATCCTACTGGTGTCCAGCCTCGAGGACGTCTCTGCCGGAGGACGAACTTACGAAGACAATCCGATGTCAGCTCCATCACTTCTATAAATAAATCCTCAGCTGTTCTTATCTTTTAATTTGATAAATCTTGTAATGTGAGAGTAAAAGTTATGACGTTTGTGTTGAGTCGAATAAGCTTTGAAAACGGTCAGGGAAGTTTTGGTCAAGGTTTTTGGATATTTATCACTAACTAATGTTAAATGAACGTTGAACCATGTGCGTGAGTTCTTTTCCCTCTCAGAGAGGAGCCTGCATGTACAGCTGGGGGGCCGAGGTCATCAGGGCCTGACTCTGAGCCTATATAAGCATATAAAAACAATTCTCGCACACTGTCCGGTGCAGACTCTCGTGACCGGGCTCCAAGCATGTAACTTTTGTACATCTGTGTACGCGTGTTGTGACCGTCTGTTCTTGTAAGTAAAAACTGGGTAAATACCTTCTCATGTCCTCGAGTGGTTTCTTTCAGTAATTAAGACGAACAGAAGATATTTTATCCAAATAAAGTGTCATAAAACTGCTCAGTGACAGGGTGGATGAGATTCGCCTTGAGACGATGAAGGCTCTGGATGTTGTGGGGCTGTCCTGGTGGACACATGTCTTCAGTGTCTCATGGAGGACATGGACAACGCCTGTGCAGTGGCAGACCGGGGTGGTGCTCCACTTTTAAAAACGGGGACCGGAGAGTTTGTTCCAACCATCATGGGATTAAGACGAGACAGAACTTTATTGATCCCACAGGAAATTGTTGTGCCAGAGTTTCAGTACAAAGGAACAAACACAAGGAATCACACAAGATGTAAAAATTCCAGTGTAAGGCTCAAGGGCAGCGTCAAAACCTTTCAGGCTTAAAAACGACCCGGGCAGCAAGAAAAACACACCAAAAAGAATTAAATAAGTAGACTCCAAACATGCATGAGGATATAAACTCCAAACGTTGCAGAGCTATGATATTTTTTAACAGTATCTACTTTTTCAGAAACTTGGATCTTCCAGTTTCACCCCAGAAAGACGGTTTAACATCAACCACCACAAGAACCAGAGCCCCACACAGCCAGCTTTTAAACCAGTAGCCTGTACCATTTCTAATAAGGAGGGGGTGGAGCCAACATTTACATTTTCTATAGGAAAATAACACACACTTAACTAAATTAGATCTCTAGAGAAAACAAATGTTTTAAAACAATAACTTAAATAATAATTTAATTTAAACAATTTAAAGCTGAACAACAACCTAAACCCAACCAGAATCCAAAACATGTCCCTCCCTCTCAGTAAGTGTGGCTTTTTCCAGTGAGGCTGATTGAAAACACCAGTTCCTTGTCAGCATTGCTCATGGGCACACTTCCATGGCAACACATGACCCGGTGACCTCAACGAGAAGGAGCGAATGATTAGAACAACAAAACCTCCAAGTTAAATTAATAACTAGATCACCAGGTTTAAGCCTTTTCCCAAATACAAACAAAAACATACATTTATGCCTTAAGTTCTTTTAGGAAAGTCCAAGCAGCACCTGTTAGTGAGGGGGGGGGGGGGGGTGTGAATCCCTCACAACCAGCAATTAAGTTCTAGACAGCCCAGGTGCAGACATGAGTGAAATGTTGGTATAATTGGTATTGGTATAAAGTTTATTCATTTTAAACATACAAAACAATTCCATAAACTATATAAAAATATACAAAATATTTCAAATGAAAGGCAGCAGAAAGTAGAAAAAATCTTATTATATCTGCCCCTTTTGTCAAACAATTATTTCAATCATAATGATCTTCAAGTAACAGAACAAAATGAATAACTCTTCCTAATTTTTCTAACTCTGATACAAAAACACACTAAGCTGCTTCACCCTCCCTGGGAAACTTTACTCCAGGGTGTTGGAAGAGATAGAAAACATTACGATAGAAATACTGTCAAATGAAAACTAAACACTTTTAACAATTCAAGGAAATGAAGTCAATTTGTCCTCTAGTAGTCTGAACTAAAGACAGCATAACAAGCCAAACCTAACTATAGGATTTATCAACAAGGAAAGTCTTAAGCCTATATATATGTATATATATATATATATATACCCTTTCCACACACTTGCAATATTCTAAACAATGTTTCTAAACTCTAAACGCTCTAAAAGAGACAGAATGTCATGACTTCAGCTCCCTGCCTCTTCTACTCTTTGCTACCTGCAAGCGCTCTTGGCCACGCCCACTTCGCTGCTCTGCATGAACAGCCGATCAGCTGCAGCAGTAAGGTTTTTTTTCTGCAGCTCTAGGCTGCACAGATGTGCAGCAGGTGCTAAATAGTTAAAATAATTTATTTTAAATAAAAGATCCATGCTGATCGTGCGGCTCATCCATCAGCCAATTACGTGTCATGTCCAATCTTATTTTGAAAAACCGTGATAGAGCGAGTCCACAATAAATGAATCCTGAAATAGCGAGGGACTACAAACTTTCTTAAACATACCTATTTTTTGGACTATAAGGTGCACTTAATTTATTTATTTTTTTCAAAAATCGACAGTGAGCTTTATAATCTAATAATATAATTATAATCATCCAAGTCCCATTTAAGATTGACAGTATTGAAATTCATAAATTTAATGAAATAAAATTTGGGGGCGTCGTTATTGATGAGAAGCTGACGTGGAAATCTCATGTAAATGACTTAAGAATAAAAATAAAATCAGTTGCATTACTGTATAAAGTAAAATAGTTTTTGAACGACAAAGCTTTGTATATATTGTATAATTATTGTTCCATATTTAATCTGCTGTATTGAAGTTTGGGGAAAAACATGCAAAACAATTACAAATCCTATTTTTATTTTACAAAAAAGAGCTAAAATAATTATTAGTAGGAAGTGCTATGGTCACTCAACAAATATATTATTTCATCAATTGAAATTATAAACATTGTATGATTTGTTTGAATATAATATTTTACAAGTCGTGTATAAAACTCATAAAAATATTACCCCAAATATTAAATAAAAATGTGTTAAAAAGAGTCTTTATAACCTTAAGGGAGTGGAAACGTTTGTAAAACCTCCAGTTAGAACTGGTCTGAAGGAGCTGAGTTCAGGGAACACGATGTGGAACTGACTTGATATCACCATAAACATTTATAAAACAATTTATATGTTTTAAAAAATGATTAAGTTAAAATTGTTGGGAAAGTATGGTGCCATGATATCTAATATTGTTTGTTTTCACTTTGGACATTGGTCAATCCCAAGTTGTTGTTTGTTTCTAGTTATTTTATATTTTTTTAATAAGGGGCAGATATTATAATAATTTATTTCTTCTATCTGCTCCTTTTTCATTCAATGTTTTTTTCTTTTTGATGAATTTGTTTTGTTTATTTTAAATGGATGAATAAAATAAAATAATAATAATAAATAAATAATCCAGAGTGCCCTGTGCATTAATTCTGGTTGTGCTCACTGACCTTGAACTGATTTTATGTGATACGCTGCGCTCAAAAATCTGTCACAATGACCTCGTTTCTCTTAACGCGCCTTATAATCTGAAAAATACAGAACTTGTTTTTCTTTTGACGCCACTTTTAGATTTTCGCTACAGCTTAAATTTTACTGTGCAGTCATATTTGCAAACACGTTTGTTTTTATTTTCCAGTTAATGGGTCCCCAAATGTGCAGCGCACAACTTAAAGTGCATCTGTCCTCAAATCAAAGCTCCAGAGGAAAAAGAAAAAGAGGACAAAGAGTTTTGTGACGTGAAAGAAGCTGATTTTTGTGTTTGCAATAACTCAGAGGTCAAAGGTCGCAGACAACATCGACTGCAGCTGTTTTACCGAGTCACAAAGTTAAAATACATTGAAATCTTTAAATCAGTAACTGAGATTAAACTCTTTAATGTAAATGTTTTATTTCATAAAACAAACCTAATGAATCAAACATTGTGTGTAAGTGGTTTCATTTCCTGCTGCAGAAACTTTCTTTTGTAAAAGTCGTTTGATATTTTCTGTTTTATTTGTTTTCCTCAGATAATTTGATGTGAACTCAGACACGTGTCACTCGCACAGATCAGATTTCATCACTTTCTTCCTGAGTTCCTCTATTTACCAACAAGATGTTTGAGCCGGTTTATCATGTTAGGATGATAAAATTATTATTTTCCTTCTAACAAGTAAGCACAGAATACAATAAGACAGAATAAACTGCAATAGTTTTGTAATAATTATGAAAGTGAACAACGTTCAAAACGAAAACACATGTTTAAAGTTATTCTGTACATAATTCAGACTGTGAAGAACCAGATGAGAACAGGTTGTTGAGTCAAGTCAAACGAACTCAAACTAAACAGACACAAAGTCCAGAGATGAAGTCCGGACACTGTTGTAATCGTTCATCAGTGTGGAACTGGACACACTTTAATCTGGGATTATTTTATGATGATAAAAGTCAGAACTTCACTCTCATTTGATACAATAAAAACAACTCCAGAACTCATTTTTATTTGGTGATTTGTTGAAGTTTATCAACATTGTCTCTTTTTATGCTGCTCCTTTATTACCGGCACATCATTTTAGTTTAAACTCTAATCTATTTTAAGCTCAGTCCCCGCCTTTTAATCTGCGTGTCTCTTCTTATTTCTGTTTTTTCTTGTCCTGGAAGAAGATGTTTCCGTTCGGCTGCTTGTTCCAGCTCAGTTTGAGGTCTGCTGTCACTCCCTGGTCCTTCATCTTCTGCTGCAGCTGAAAACACAAAGAAAATTGGACATCTGTTAGGATCTGTTAGGATCTGTTAGGATCTGTATGATCGGGATCATACCCTCGGAATCTCCCTCGAAGACTAAGACCTGAAAACCAAAGTAAGGGTAACATCCTATTATCTAATTAAGGATTGAATCAAGACTTTAAGAAATCATATACTCACCAGCTGTGCTTCTTGCAGATCTCCCAGTCCTCTGCCTTTTGGCCAAAACCT